GGATAACGCGAAGAAATCCTCTCCAGGCGAGGCAGAGTTCGGATAACCCGACCATCAAAGGAGACGCCGTTATATCCGCCCACTATAATAGGTAATGCTTAGTGACGCAGGTGTTTACTGAGCCATATGTTTAAGCCAGTCCGTGTCCAACACCCGCCCCTCCCCCTCACCCCCACTGTTTTAAACAAATCCACAAGGGCTGTGCCGAGGATTCGAACCTACGTCCGGGAGCAACCCAGTCACTGCCCTCATCCCACTGTTTTTCTTAACTGCATTTGAAGTGACGTATTTTAATACAAAATACACATGATATATATGTTGTAATATTTATTTATTGAACAGTGGTGGAGTTAGAAATGTCTGAGTCTCACCAGTGGCAGGTTTGTGTTTACTCGTCCTGATTGTGCATACAGGACCGCTCCTGTGCCAGGTAAGTCCAATATGGGCTTACCATAGCCCGTGCTACTTGCCCCGCTCCTGTGCCAGGTAAGTTACGGGCTCACCATAGCCCGTGCTACTTGGAACTTGTTCAGAGTAGCTTAATCTATAACAACAACAACCTGATTGTGTTTGATCATCCAAAATATTTGTGTTGATGCTGGTTTGGAAACAACGATGTTTATTGATTATTTATGTTTACCCGGTTCAAATTACCGGGTAACACAATAGATGTCCGGTCACTCGATTATTTCAAGCGTAGATTAGACATATATATATATATGAACAATTCACACAGAAATCACAATAGCGTGATGCATCAAATGAACAAATCCACAAGGGCCGTGATGAGGGTTCGAACCTACGTCCGGGATGATCCCAGACGCTGCCTTAGTCGACTGCGCCACGACATGGGCAAATAATTGCAACCTGGAATTTTACCATGTGGCGCAGTGGACTAAGGCGCGTCTGAGATCATCCTGGACGTAGGTTTGAGAGCTAGTTACAAAATTCAATGCACATCGTCACATCAACAATGGGTTCGAGATCGACCACAAGTACAGTTTATAAATTAAGCAACTGACATATTTGGAGAGCTAGTGTCACAATTGATGTGTTTGTCCTGCACACCGCCCCCCATCCAGTGGGCAGCGGTGGATAGGTTACAATCACTCAGTTACTACCTACAGGCAGCAAACTGGGAATATTTAGGCCAAGATTTCAGGTAGCAGATCCTTTTGAATCGCTGTACCCGGCAGCTGATGGAGATGTGTACCTGGGTGTCACACGGGCTTGTGATTCACTGATATTGACAGGAATACAATAGGAATACATTCACCGTCTCTTTAACACTCAATGGGGGCGTGTTAAAGTTTGTCTGCCTTGACCCCAAACATCTCATGTCATGTCCTGTCATTTAGGGGTTAGAAAAAGAGGATGAGGGCAAGAAAGGAAGAGGAAAAGGGAGAGAGAGAGAGGAAACGAAACATAAAAAAAGGAAAGATGAGAGGAGATAGTGGAATTAAAGAGAGGAGGAGGGGGACAGGAAGAAAGAGCCGGATAAACCAAACACGGCCGCTTAAGAGAGGGCGTTAACGAGTTACGAAGATCTGAGAGATCTTTGAGAGGCATTCAGATCAGATAAAGAATAAGAGAGGGTCCGGGTGGGGATCAGAGGAGGGGGTGAGGGAGAGAGGGGGTCAGAGAGAGTGGGAAGGGGGTCAGAGCACACACCCCTGTGTGTGTGTGTGTGTGTGTGTGTGTGTGTGTGTGTGTGTGTGTGTGTGTGTGTGTGTGTGTGTGTGTGTGTGTGTGTGTGTGTGTGTGCGTGTGTGTAGGGGAGCAGAAAACGACGGAGGATGGATGGGGGCGCCAAGCACGCCACAAGGTAAACTGTCTACCATCAGCCCCTGCTGGCACCAAGGGGCGTCCCTCTGGGTTAATCACGCCATTCCCTCCTTAAACCCCCCATATACACCAGCCCCGGACGTCACAGCCTCACTACAACGCCTTCATAACCTCATAGGATGATTGTCAAGAGTAACGGGCCTCCATCCCACTTCCAGATTCATTGAAAAGAAGCGGTATCAAGAAGAATAGAGGTGTAATTAAAGAACAAAAAACAGGAGAGGTTTGGGCGCCAAGAGTGCGCGGATGTGCGCATGGGTGGTGGAGCGAAGAATCACCCCCCTCCCCCCCCCCACACACCCACACACACCATGATAAAACACCCATACCAATATCTACGTTTTTTCGGGCTATTTGAAGCGGTCAGATTCCATCCAGGATTTTATGTCAGCGGAATATGCGGGGGAAAAAAAAAAGGTTAGGCTATCTGAACGACAATAAAAGTCATTTTATATCATTAGATAATTGAGATTATGTTAGACACATTTCCTTGGAGATAACCCCCATCACGTCAGCACAGATGCCCACAAGGTGTTGACAGATGAGATTGAAACGTGCATTAGTCAGACGCTGTCTACCTGAAAGATCTTATATTTTTTTAAGCCAGCAAAAGGAGAGGTCAATAAATCAAGGATGTTGACGGGAAGGTTAATATATATAACGTCGGAGGGTCTGGTCTTCCCCGCCACACCAACCACGCGTAAAAAATCATTTAAAAAAATAAAAAAAAAAGGTAGCATTCTCTATCTTCATGGTTGGAAAAACATTTAAACTGTTTGCGAGTTTTTTTTACCAAATACACAAGCTCAGGAGATTAGAGGAATAGGAACTGGTTTTTTTTCTTTAAATAGAGTTTTTGTACACATTAGAAGCTGTTCTAATCTCAGCTTTAGAGAGCCTAACATTTTACAGAGTTCTAAAAGCCTAAGATCCGTCGGAAAATATTAAGTATTTTCTGGAATAGATTTAATTGTTTGGTAATTACTAGTAAGCTGTTAAATTTGTTTTGGTTCTTCTTGTTATGGGAATACCACTTTGATGTGGCTGTTCCTCCACGCCACCAGCCTGGGTTCAGAGATAGTGAATCGTGCCTCACAGGTTTAATAAACTTCTATGACCAAGCAACAAAAATTAGGCAAGAAAGAGAAGGGTGGGACAAAATGCATTTTCTTGGACTGTCAGGAACTTTGACACAGTACCCCATAAAAGGCTGTTACGAAAGGTGGAGCAGCAGGCAGGAGTAAAAGGTAAGGTGCTCCAGTGGATAAGGGAGTATCTAAGCAACAGGAAACAGCGAGTAACTGTGAGAGGAAAGAGATCAGAGTAGCGAGATGTCACCAGCGGAGTCCCACAGGGCTCTATACTTGGACCCATTGTGACGTGATGCTTTGGTGTTGTTGTTGTTGTTATAGATTCAGCTACTCGGAACAAGTTCCAAGTAGCACGGGCTATGGTGAGCCCGTAACTTACCTGGCACAGGAGCGGAGCAAGTAGCACGGGCTATGGTGAGCCCGTAGTGGACTTACCCGGCACAGGAGCGGTGCTTCGTGTGCTGTGTGTACTTTGGTGTGTCAAGGGTTATTAAGTAACAACATGTTATGACCTCAGCTTAGCTTGTTACGCTGAGGTCATAAAGGTCGCTGAGGTCTGTTAGACGGGATACGCTGAGGTCACACCTTTAAGTGTCAAGGTACCTCTATTACAATGTAATTCATTTTGAAGTATTTGAAATATCATTATATATATATACACGTGTATTCTAGTTTATAGTATGCTATTTTGATGCATTATTATAATATTTCTTGATGTGTTGTGTGTGAGTTTGGTAACTGTTTCGTCGGCCGGCGCCTGCTACTCTCATTACGTCCCCCCCCCCTCCCCCTCCCCCTAGCCTGAGTGTGTGTCAGTACAACCTAACCCGGTGTGGTTGATAACCTTGTGTGTTGTATATACGTATTTGCATGTTAATTTTGTGTAGTTGAACATCTGTGTATATTCCCAAGGTGTATATATGCGCAGGAGTATGTTCCTGGTTATGTTATGTACTATGTTGGTAGTGTGAGTTGACCAGTGTGAGCTAGCAGTTGTCCCACTGGTGTGTCTGGGCTGTAAGGAGAGCACACGCGTATTATGTGTGCTCTCTTGATTGATTGATAAAGATTAAGCCACCCAAAAGGTGGCACGGGCATGAATAGCCCGTAAGTGGTGGCCCTTTTGAGCCATTACCAGTATCAATAGATGATACTGGAGATCTGTGGAGGTGCGACTGCACCCTGCGTGACGGGAGATGTCTCCCGTGTGTGCTTTCTAGATAGTTTTGTATATATATATTATATATATATATATATATATATATATATATATATATATATATATATATATGTCGTACCCCTAGTAGCCAGAACGCACTTCTCAGCCTACTATGCAAGGCCCAATTTGCCTAATAAGCCAAGAACACAAATGCGAACAAGCCTGAATTTTCATGAATTAATACTGTTTTTCGACTACCTAACCTACCTAACCTAACCTAACCTAACTTTTTTCGGCTACCTAACCTAACCTAACCTATAAAGATAGGTTAGGGTTCGGTCATATATCTACGTTTTCAGTTGCATATGTCCTGGGGACCATTAATTTTAACTCCAATCAAAAAAAAATTGACTTCATACATAATGAAATGGGTAGCTTTATCATTTCATAAGTCACTTCTGGGGTGTGAGTTTTCAGTTGCATAAAAAATTTGAGAAAATATATTAATTCAGGAAAACTTGGCTTATTAGGCAAATCGGGCCCTGAATTGTAGGCTGAGAAGTGCGTTCTGGCTACTAGGTACGACATATATATCGATATATATATATATATATATATATATATATATATATATATATTGCCTTCTTACCAGTATGTAAGAAGGAGGATTAGTTGTGTGGATCAGAGTATAAAGTACTGTCACCAACTTCGTAAATTGTAACTCTTGTGGTGACTTATATTATTATTTGAGCAGTTTGGGGGACTTTTGTCGTATTGTGGTGCCTGTCTGGACATTACCTCCGGGGAGCAGATTCTGGACTTATTCAGATTTCATGCTTTGTGGACTTTAATTTTTTGAGATGAGATTCCTGACTTTGCCAGATTTGCCAGTCATTGTAACTAACGTTTGAAGACTGGTATTTGACTTTGCCATTTGTCAAGGCCTTGCGGACTTTTAACTTCCGTAGAGAGTTCCTTGACTGTCATATTTCCAGTCATTGTGGATTCTGACTATTTGAGAAGAGATTTTCGACTTGGCCATTTTGTCAGTGCAGCTGGGACTTAGTTTTTCCTTGAAGGCAAAAGTGATAGTTCACTGACTTGTGTTATTGATGTTCAGGTTAAGACATTATACCCTTACTCTGGTTATATAATGTCACTATCCACCTTGTTCACAACCCTTCAGCCAGTCCTCAGTGGACTAGTGTTTCAATGTCATTAGGTAATCTTTTCCTTAGTGACATTTAGCTGCTATGACTTCTGCTTTGTTACTTTCTGGTTATTTGGTTGTGTGTATAGAGAGATTTGTGTATATAAGAAGCTGTGTCGTGTAGATAAGTTCGCCCCCAGTAAACCAGTAAACCCCAGTAAACAGGTGGATTTTACTTAGACTTTTACTCTAGACATATTACCACTGGATATTTTTTTAGGCCAGGCGGCTCATGGATTTATGAGGGAAAGTTCTATTCCACGAGGATATTCCGCGTTGGTTCCCCCGTGCTCGCTTTGTTTACATAGATGGGGTATGAAACGCTGCGGCGTGCAAACGGGCAGCAGCGTTTGTTGGTCTGTCCCCCCCCCCTCTCCCCCTCTCCCTGTTTTTCATAAACAGGGCGTTTGGTGGCTGGATTATCGAGTATTTTGCCTTTCTATATGATTACGGGTTGTTATAGCACGTGAGTGACGCATTTACAGAGTTGCGATTCGAATAGAGGTCATCAGCAAAGCACTGTTCGATAAAAGTTCGAACGTCATCACTTATGAGTCAGCCCGTCCTCATCAATAAAGGGCAAATGCTCGTTAATGCAGTCGCCATATCCCCTGTTTGTGACTGAAAAACGCTTTACCATGACTAACAACTGATGGCGTCTGAACACTTCCGGAACAAGTGCTTCACTGACCATTTTGTTCGAACCACAACGCTGTAAATGTACGTGGTAGTAAATCCACGTACGTATGTGGTAGTACGTGGTAATGTAGTACGTGGGTGTAAATCACCCACGTACTACAAATATAATCGCCAACAGAAACTTAACACCTAACCTATATCTAACTATATATATATAAAACTTTAATATATAAAAATATTTACGTATAAGAATAAATGTATATTTAACGCACAATACGAATATTGATGAATGTATCTGGCGGCCAAAACTGTAGCGCTTAGGCATGTCTAACTTATTAGAATTTAATATTCTTAAATTATAAATTTAAAACCTTATTAGAGATGATAGTACTAACGTTGCTAACTATAATTGGCATAATTTCTAACATTTCTGCGCGGTTCTTTCTTTTAGACTCCTTCAAATCTGTTTAAATATCTCGTTGATACCTCTGAATATTTTGTATGTCGTGATCATGTCCCATATATTTCTCACTACTAATGGTGTGGGTAAATTTTATTCTCAGTCTATCCGCTTATCGCAATTCCCTAAAATCTGAGGTCAGTCTTGTTGCAAACCTCTCATCTCTCTCAGCATTTATTTTGTGACTTTTTTTGAGAGTGGGAATCCACACTGGTGCTACATAATCTACCACTGGTCTGATGTATGTTAAACGAAGCGTTTTGAGTACATTTAGGTTCATGTCGTGAAGCCCGCCAGCTTAGCATAAGCTGCTGGGCATCACGATACCCTAGCAGCTTAGCATAAACTGCTGGGCATCACGATAGCCTAGCATAAGCTGCTGGGCATCACGATAGCCTAGCAGCTTAGCATAAACTGCTGATGTGTGCTTCAAGACCTTGGTGCTGTCTTTGTGAAGACATTTATATATACATTACAGCTTAGCAGATTCCTTTTTATCGTTAGGTCTTGCTCCACTGCGTGTGTCTTAGCCCCTCTGCGGGTCCTCGTCTAGCTGCGCTTGCGGGAGCTGAGCCTCGGCTCTTTGGTCCCGCCTCTCAACTGATGTACAGGTTCCTGAGCCTATTAGGCTCTAATATTAGGCATTATTAAGTATTATTATCTAATTATTTGGATAAAATTTGGTGTCTGTGATTGCGTATCTGTGTTACATCACTGTACGTGCGTGAGTGCGTGCTTCTACACTCGTATGACTGCGCGAGTGCGTGCTTCAATACTCATATGACTGCGTGATTCTACACTCTATGACTGCGTGACTGCCTGCTTCTACACTCGTATGACTGCGTGAGTGCGTGCTTCTACACTCGTACGACTGCGTGAGTGCGTGCGTGCGTGCGGGACGAGCTAGGCTACGGGGCAGGCCACACAAGGGAGCAGGAGCCGTGCCTTACTACCAAGCCGTCCCAGGAGAGCCGCTCATTACAACACCTTGTATAGATGGACCAGATCCCGCCATAATTGAGATACATGCGGGGGCCGGCAAGGTGTACTTACCCTCTAATTTATGGACGGCTAAATACTCCCTAATGATGATGAATAACAATTATACCATGATTAAATTGTCCGGCTTGCGATGCCCCGGATGGGAAAAAACTAACAATTAGGAGCACATGAAGCGGCTCTTGTGTTAATTACAAGCTGAAAGATGCTTCGCCCGCTTTAAGCTTAGAGCTCGGGGCTGTTCTATATATCAAGCTTACAGCTGGGGGCTGTTCTATATATCAAGCTTACAGCTGGGGGCTGTTCTATATATCAAGCTTACAGCTGGGGGGCTGTTCTATATATCAAGCTTACAGCTGGGGGCTTACTCTATATATCAAGCTTACAGCTGGGGGGTTACTCTATATATCAAGCTTACAGCTGGGGGGTTACTCTATATATCAAGCTTACAGCTGGGGGGTTACTCTATATATCAAGCTTACAGCTGGGGGGCTGTTCTATATATCAAGCTTACAGCTGGGGGGTTACTCTATATATCAAGCTTACAGCTGGGGGCTGTTCTATATACCAAGCTTACAGCTGGGGGCTGCTCCATATACCAAGCTTACAAACAGGTGTACTCCACATATACAAATACACAACTGTGGCTACTAGACAGACCCAAGCCTACATCTGGGACTACATCAACATTTGTCTTAGTAATTTGCGACTCAACTTTGCATGCAGTGTCGAGTAGAGAGAGAGGAGAATAACAAAAAGCCAGAGACCAGTAGAGAGAGACAGATACAGACAAAGAGTATGTTAAACCCCATGTGTGTGTGTGTGTGTGTGTGTGTGAGTGTGTGTGTGTGTGTGTGTGTGTGTGTGTGTGAGTGTGTGTGTGTGTGTGTGTGTGCGCAGACTTAAGGTTCAGATTGCCCTTTTGCATATTCTCTTGGCCTTAAAAAGAAAAGTACAGCATGAAGTAATTTAAGGAAATGCTAGATGGGTCGTCTGGCTGTGTGTGTATGTGTCGGAGCCGGTGTTTCTGAAAGGAAAAGCAATATGGCCGACACCGACCAGCCTATGACAGTCATATCCCACCCATGTGTCGTCTTGAAAAGTTGAGTAAAGTTAGCCCGAAGCGTTTGGTCCCCCCTCCACCACACACTTCCCCCCCTCCACCACACTCTCCCCCCCCCTCCACCACACACTCCCCCCCCTCCCTCCACCACACACTCCCCCCCCCCCTCCCTCCACCACACACTCCCCCCCCCCCTCCCCCTCCACCACACACTCCCCCCCCCTCCACCACACACTCCCCCCCCCTCACCACACACTCCCCCCCCCCTCCCTCCACCACACTTCTCCTCTGGGAAATATTTATTACAATAGCTTCTAATCATAAAATAATAAAATCAATCTTAATGAGATACTCACTGTTCAAGTTTGATCAATAAATTAGCACACAATTAATAGGTGCATAGTTAATCAGAGCTGCGCCATTATACAACCCGGCCGAGCAGGCAGCTCTCTGGCTACCATCTTATACACCACAATAAACGATTAGGAAACTAAATTTGTCTCCTATCACTTCTTTTAAAGTATACAACGAAAGGAAACTCACTAGTTAAATAATTAATTGAATTAACTTTGTTGTTTCAAGTTTATAAACAGCCTTAAACTCTAAGAGGAGTAAATAATTTACGATAGTTCCTCCTTGACTCCTGTGTTGGCGGGAGGAGGAGGAAGGTCATGGCGGCCATTACATGACCCGGACCTTCTTGGTGACGGACCTTACCTACCTTGAGGTTACCTTGAGGTGCTTCCGGGGCTTAGCGTCCCCGCGGCCCGGTCGTCGACCAGGCCTCCTGGTTGCCGGACTGCCGGACATCAGCAAGTCGTTACTCCGCAGCCTAAATTTTATGTTCTGCTGCCGTCCTGATGTTGTTGTTATAGATTCAGCTACTCGGAACACGTTCCAAGTAGCACGGGCTATGGTGAGCCCGTAACGCCGTTCTGAGTGAATGATTGATGATGATTAAGCCCACCACACGAGGTGGCACGGGCACGAGTAACCCGTAGGTGGGAAATGTTTGGAAGGGAAGGGACTTGTCGGGAAAGCGCCAAGCCATAACGACTATATAGCACTAGGAAGGGATCAGGATAAGGATTTGGGATGGGACGGGGGGGGGGAGGGAAGGAATGGTGCCCAACCACTTGTGGACGGTCGAGGATTGAACGCCGACCTGCATGAAGCGAGACCGTCGCTCTACCGTCCAGCCGATGTTCGGAGTGAATGTGATCTTTGGTCGTGAAGCGGTTGTGAATGTTTAATTGTTGTTTAAGATTCAGCTACTGGAAACAAAAAGTTCCAAGTAGCACGGGCTATAGTGAGCCCGTAACTTACCTGGCACAGGAGCGGGGCAAGTAGCACAGGCTATGGTGAGCCCGTAGTGGACTTACCTGGCACAAGAGCGGGGCTATGCGGTTGTGAACTTCACGACTTCTAAATATAGTCGTACCGCCTTACACTTCAGCTTTAAGGAAGTAATATCCCCCCTTCAGTAAGCTAACAGATATTGTGGCCATGGTACATACATTCGGTGGTAACTACCACCGAAAGCTACCATGGGGTAGTTTAAAGCAGTTACGAAGCAAAACAGCGCCAATATCTCTCGTAAGAGCATACGATTTATATCCTCATAAAGA